TCTGAATATTATCAGTGGATCACCTACTTGCCAATTTAAGTTTTCATCCATTCAAATCCCAACACACTTAAATACTATAAATAAAGAATGATGTTCTCATGCACCGCAGCTGCAGTCAAATCATGTCTACGCACGGAACGAAGTAGACGTGATTTGTGGTGCAACATCAGCACTAGAGGGCAGTTCTTGTGCCTGGAACGCGTGTGGGTTATGACTTTCCTGCCAATGTACGACTGTTGTGTTGTGCAATTCTCAGTTTAAATCAATTAAACAATACACATAAATATTACATCATTTGAATTCATACCCTTTAAGATGAAGAAGTATTTATCACCTTTTACTGAGTCCAACATGTTCATGTACGGGTTCTTTGCTGTTAATGTCACGGTTACGTGGGGGTGTTGCCACCTTGACGTAGTGGGTCCGCTCAACTTTTAAATTGAGGACTGGAAACTGCTAAGTGACCACAGATTAATCAAAGAATGATATATGTATTCAGTACAACATGACGTTCCGTGATAGCGTATCAGATTAGATTTAATTATTCAATCCAACAATTATGAGACAGCATGGGCCACACTATAATATAAACATGGAGGAAGATCTCAAATATGAGGATGACAATAACCAGAAGTGTATTTGTTTATGAAGATGAGACTCCTAGTTGAGAATATAAAGTTAGGTTTCTAGGTGATTGTAAATTAAAACCTACTAAATTCCCAAGGGCACTACACGGTAACTTTCAATAACTTCCCAAAGGCATTGTGTGGACCCGCCTCTCTCCTCCGAGTAAATCTATTGCACAAAATACACACAACAGTCGTCAGGTCGCTGACGTGCAACAGTCGTCGGTCACACGACACATGCACAAAACTTTCTCTACAATGTGCGAAACTGAAAGGAATCCAAATGTCCTATTTTGGATCTCCTCAACCAACGACGAAAAGCTAGCTTAGTAACAAAGTTGATGAAAACAAGGCTGCAATGTCAACACAACCCAAACGCAAAATTAAAGTGAACAAAATTTGAAAGCTTGATGAAGAACGACAACTCACGTTGTGTGCCAACACAACTCGATCAGAGAGAGGGAGAATCGCACGTACGCCACGGCAAAGTACGTTGCGCAAGAATAATGCGTCAAAGTTTTGTAGAAATATAACCATTGAGCTAATCTAGCCTCAAACATATATAAATCAAGCAATATAACTAGTTACAGACAACTGACCATTTCATATCCCGAGCTCTTTAAATACTGGTTACAAGCATGACGGGGTGGGAAATATTATGACTACTCGGATGGCTACCAAACTCATAACACATTCCAAGATTAGACTTAAATCAAGCCGGTCCCGTCACATTAACAAATTTGTTTTCGGTTCATGTATACCATTTTTTGTTCATTCGTCCCTTCGGGTATAATGTATAAAATATCAGTTATTTCAATAACAATTACAACACTTCTATTAACCCCCTAAAATTTAACTTCAAATTAAGTTTATGTATAACTTGTATAACATTATACCTACAGGGGAAACATTTCTATCAAGGATTAAACATGCACCTGGATGCACGCCGTCTGGGTGAAATGAAAAAGTCGACGATATGTTGTGTATTATATAACACGTAAAAGTTATTAATGCTGTAGAGATACTTTCATAAACATATAAATTACAAAATGAAACAGTAATAAAATACAAAATGAAATAGTAATAAAGTGTAAAATTTCAGAAATGGGTGGCAAAATACAAATATAGATGATGGTTTATTGCGTACGTCAAGGCTGTACAAGTTGAGTACCCTGGTCTAACTCCCGCTGAACCCGATTGTTGATCAGGCCACTGACATGTAAAAAATCATTAACCTGAGCATGAATTGCTTTCTCAAAGACTTTCATGGCATTTAGACCTTACACAGGAAGGCTCAGCGTGGCATAATACAATGCTACACTTCAACCATATCGGAGTCAAGTGGCTCTTTGTGAGAGTATATCACGCACAACTCTCGTACAGAATCTTATATGCAACGCATTTTCTTCAATGCAACACTTGAAATGGACCTGTATGTTGCAATTATTTTTAATCTTTATTTTGCGATATTTAAGGGAATTTTGGCGCATTTTTCTTTATGCTCACGAGCACTTCCGTATTCATGAGTAACACTGTGATGTCACCCTGATGGGAAGAAAACCTGAAACGTTTCAGTGATATTTGCACAAAATTGGCTGAAAAGTTATATTTTTCGCGGCAAAAATCTCCTTTTGTTTAGTAATTTATTGTTGTTTAATTTAGTACATGACAATATATTAGCAACCCTTTCTTAGCAGTGTTTTTAATGAAACATTTTGATATTAAATATTACAATTTGAGTATAAAGAATTGAAAACTTGTGACTGAAACCACAGTAAAATGAAAAATGATCACCCCAATCTCGCCGCTGCCACATTTATGAGATGTCCGATAACGAGTAAAACAATAAATCCAAAGTCTATATCCGAATCTGAAAGAACCACATTAAATCTGATCTTACACGATCCGAGGTCGGATTCATATTGGATAGAATTCAGGTCGGAAGAGCAGGACTTCACGAGTTCCCTAAAAGACCTTGTACGTGAATTTGGGGCTGTGTTTATAACGGTACAGTAGATTCCCGTTACAGCCCCCCCCCAGGGACCGAACTGAATTAAGCGTTATAACTGTACGCTGCTATAACTGGCTAGACAGGCTACATGTGCAGTTCAGGAAATAAAAAAGAGCTTTATATTTTAAGTTGGCAAGAGCGTACGTTGAGGTGATTCTGGAACCCAATGCAAAATGCTTTTTACTCTTTTTTTGTATGGTGCTTGAATACTTTTCAACATGGCTGCAAGTACTGTCATATGCCAAGAGTCTCCACGTGAAAAATTGGCATATTTATATTTGGGCATGTGTGCACTATCCGCCTTGAGCAGAAGCACCCCTTATTGGTTGAAAAGAGCTACACTGGTCGGGATTGTTCATTTGAATGCAAGCGAAGCGACATAAACGCGTGCATTAGCGAAGTTCAGTTCAGACCAAAAGAGCCTCTGTTAGTAGAATTTTTTTCTAGGTCCAGCTTGAGGCTCACACACTGTGATAAAGGCTGAAATTTCGTTCCTATCAGCCCCTCTCAAACACTGTGCGTACGTTACGGCAATAATCTTTCTTTTCACTGAACCCGTTAATCAGTAGTAGTTTTTCTTCAAGACTTAATTTTTGTTATTATTTGAGCATGACACCAATGTCTACATAAAGTATTATCGCCACCTACAAATACATGTACCTATGCCAAGTTTTGCAGTATACATGAGTTATAACGTACAGACATAATTTCATGACACTAGTAATTTCGCGTACATTCATGTAACTGAAAGACACCATACGTGCATACGTGATACGCTGTATGGGTTTGGGCTGACCCTACCCTGTACAAACCCATCTGAATATCGAACTTATGAACCCACACGTTGACGTCAAGAAGAAAAAAAATGCAACAAACTACACTGAAAATAACAAGGCACGAAGGCTGTTTATATTGTGTTGCTGATTTTTTTTCTTTACAATTTAATATAAAGAAATGAAAGGGTCTTTCAAAATGTACCATCTAAAATCTTATGAGAAACTTTCAGAGCGACATCTCAACGTTAATATAAATCATCTTTAAGGTAACGGGCTCATGTTTCAATTTATGCAATGACTACCTAAAGCTACAGACATTACAAACACTTTGTTTGTCACATAAAGTACACGTTCCGGGCACTACACCATTACAAAATACATATTCAAAAACACTTTTAGGGAACCATTTCCAAAGCAATCATCCGAGACATTACCGACATAAAAGTTTCCGGTTCAGTTTTTATAGTAATTATGTCCAAGTCAAAACGAGTCAGTCATACCACAGCCGTTGGGCCTTAGTGTAGATATACAACCCTTATCCTCGGTAAAAGAGCTCCTGAGGAGAACAAATTCATCCTTTATTTTGATAATTCACGAACAGACCACGGATCATGGGTGACACTGGTGAAGTTCTTGACTCGAAGCAGATTAGCAGAGTTCAGGAATTGTGGAAACTCATAGCCACCAACTCCTGTGAAAACGGACAGACTTTGATTAAGAGACAAGTATTGTCTAGTGGGATCCGCAATGACGTGTTTACACGGTCAAGAATGTAGGATGGGGAGAGATCAAAAAGTATGAAATCAGTTTAAATGCTCAACGGCAGTGTGACTTTTATTTCGCCACTTACTGAAAATCCTCGAGTTCCAAAATGCTTAAGGGTGGACTGTGGTGTGGCCTTAATGCTGGGGCTTTTTATGCATTCTTGGAAAAGGGGAAGTGAAACAGCGCCCCCCTCCACTGCTTATGGGGAATAGCTCCTGTTTCCCCCTCCTCCCGAATCGGTCGATGGTGCAATGTCCTTCCTGCATAAGGCGCTTCATTAGTACTCAATCTCACAAACAGATGCGTTGTTCATATTTGACGCTCTGTCACTACCCTATTGATACTGGCTGTCACTACTTACGCGTAAAGGACACATTGAACTTAAAATGAATTGATTCTAAAACAGTGCTATTTACGTCAAAAGCTTCACAAGCCATTCAATATTAAGCCAAAAGTCACTAGTTATGAACTGTGAAAACCGTGCTCTTTTGCCACTGTTCATGACTAGTCTGGTGAAACGATTTGTGAATTGTACTTGTGTAAGGACTTGTAATGGACAAGAAGCTAGTTTACAACCATTACATCATGTAACTCGTAAAGAGCCACATTTGAAATGGGTCATCTTTTTTGGTTTCAAACAGCCACATTGGGGCCATAACTGCCATGCTCTTTGTGAGTTTGTGCTTAAGAGTGCAGCAGCCAAAAACCCCAAACCAAATTCACCCAAAAGCAACTGCGCAAGTATTAAATTTTATACTAGTCAGAAATATTAGTATAATCAATGAGCAAGTATGGGCACTACGGCGTTGTAGATGGATAAAAATTCTTTGTCAGTCGTGTGAAACTGTTAAAAACTCAATAATCACAAACCTCCCATTGTGTTTTGAAATTTCCGTTATGGCTGTACGACGCCACGTAGTTTATCTCAGCGAATGACTAACACATATTTAGATTAGAAAAAGGGGATTGTGAGCAAACATCCTACTTCAATAAGCCTACGGACATGTTAAAATTTTTGGGACACATGATCTCAAAATGATTTGGAGAGCTAGAGACAAAAATCATGCACAAGGTATCATACTACTCCACTTTGGCTATAATTTCAACAGGTTAACAAACGTTACATCAGCATCGAACAACCAAAACCTGGCTTAAATAGTTTGGTATTTGTAGATCAGGCAAATTTTATCAATTCCACCAATTAAATCACCTATTTTTGAAAACTATTGAGATCCCCTTTCCAAACTTCAATCACAGTATCGAGACTATCCACATCCTTTAGTCAAGTATCATTTGCCCTTTCTAATCTTCTGGCAGTATCTTCAGGAAGCAGTTGTCTTTATGCTTCAGAAAGCTCTAGGTGATGGCCTCACCAAGGATTTATCGGAGGCTTGGTTGGCTGTGTATGCAGTCATGGCGAATATCATGAAGTCCAAAATGTAACAGTTGCCAACTAAAACTCAGCGATCTCCAGTACAGATTTGCACAACACTTTGGAGGCTTGTCTTGTTTTGTAGTTAAGATGTCACGTTCATGCAACCCCACATTAATACTTCTGGCTGTTAAATCTTGGATATACAGTTAATATATATCAGATTTATCACATTTATTAATGCTTGGCTGTTGTGGACAGGTAGGTAATGTATTTAATGTACAATAATACCTGTACAGGGTGTCATCTTTTTTAAAATAATAATCATCATTTCATTTATTTTTCTGTGTGTGTCAGAACAGGGGGGAGGAGCTGACCCATACTCCCCCCATTGGATCTGTGCCTGTTATCAGCATAGCTGTCACCGACTGACGTTATGGAAATTTGAATCCAAAATTTTACAGGAACATTTAAATTGAAATGGTCTTGTCCGATTCTTATTTTGAACTCTGACGTCTTTGGAGAAAGGTATCATTACCAGAATGCTCTGTAAAGCCAACATTTAATTTTGAAAACACAATCTGTTCATATCCAGAATCTCAACTTTACTGAAATACATGATTTTGCTTCTGAAAAATAATCAGTGACAGGTTTCTTCATCCATTAAGATTCACTTAGCTTTAAACACCAAATACATGAATAACCATTAGAAACAAGAAAAACACCCCAACCAAACCAAAACAAAACAAAAGATGGGATGACAAATTCTTTTCCAATACTCCTTCAAATCTGTTTCTATATAATTCTCTCTGAAAACAAGTCACTGTTCACAAAAGGGTTATTACCACCCAGGTATGCAACTTGGACTTTGACGAAAACGAGGAAATTCCAATCTTTACAAGGCTTTGTACAGCGTTTTGAATTTTCAATGGCATGAGTGTGCAGTGAAAAACAAGGAAATAAGCTGATACAAGAAAATGTTGCATGCCTGCCACCACTTTTCCTACTTTCAGGCTATAAAACAAAGAAAGAAGGATTAGCCTCCTCACTAGAATGACTGTCTTTTCAAGAGGTCTGCCTGGGCCAAAAACGAACGCCTTCAGATTGGTTCCATTTACGTACATTACGGGAACATGTATGTGGTATGGGTTTGGTTAATGGGTGTGATAGAAATGACAAAGGCATAACTTAATGCAGCATCTTACCACTATTCTAATAAATGCATAGAGGTATGTGCTAATTTTGTTTCTCATTGGTCATACATGTTGTTCAAGAATTGCCCAATAAGGAAATTCTATGACCTAACATTGATTGTTACATATTCACTGCTGAAGAGCCAGTTGGTGCTTGATAACTCCAAAGAACTGACCTATCACTGCAGATTGCGTTGGAAATAAAATAATGTTAGAAGTCAGTACTGTTTGAGGACAGTGAAAACCTCCATATTCAACTAATAACATGAGCACTGGCGAGCGCCCATTTTCCAGGATGGTTTGCATTCAAATCACTGAAGATATAAATATACCGCTACATTCATGTACATAAGTGGCAAGTGAGATGACCATACACAATAAAAATTACACGTACATCTCATAAACCTAAGATTATTTCAGGGTCTTACCGAACAGACAAAAAAAATTGCCACAGGAAAAACATCAGAACTCCCAGGAGTCCATCCAATGTAGGCCAGCCATGTTACTGCTTGTATTCACAGATGATGAAATAATCCCATAGGACAAAGGGTGAAATAGGTAGAAACTGGAAGGGAATGAAGGACAGGCAAATAGTTTTTAACAGCAAAAAAAACCCAATTTCACTTTGGTCTTTGTCTTGAATGGGCTGGTTATCACTAAACAAATCGGTACAACAGAAGATTTTTTTTGAAGTTCGTTGACAAATTATAATTATCATACCTATTCACTGAGCCAAGATCATAGTGATCATTAAATTATCTTTTTGTCACATGTTACTACCGTACCTGCAAAACAAGATGGACATTGTGTTTGCCAAGTGAACAAATATAGAACAGTATCGACTGTGTGGATTTAACAGCGATAATTTGTATCAGTAGTTATTAACCAGAACCTGTTAAACAGGACATAATTCTAAGGTGGCATGACATGGTACTTAGCTCTGCCAATTAATTCAATCCAATATGTAGTTTCTGAAGCCCTTTCTGTACTGGACTTTTGACGATGGGTACTTTATCCATTTTAAGTCAGGAAGGTACAATACTTTTGTACCATTTGGCAAAGAATAACCCCAAATTTTGTGACAAAATTTTAATGCAAAAATTTAATTCTTTTACTACAAAAGTTATTACCACAGATATTTTAAGAATTTTTGGAAAAGACCTATGTACCAGTAGGCTCTGTTATGTTGTACTAGTCTATTTAAATTCATTTACATGTATATTTGGTTTTGCAGTAGCTTTCCGAAAGTATGTTATATTGGTCCACTTGAATTCAATTACACACAAGGTTTGCAGGAGCTATCAGAAATGGTCCATTTGAATTCATTTACAGGTACCATGTGGGTTTGCAGTAGCTATCAGAAGGTACAGGGAGAGCACTTTAATGCAACTAAGACAAGTAACTTCTGTTACTCAAAATTTTCAATATCATGGCTAAGTTCTGACTTGCAACCATGTAGCACTCAGTCAACAAATTGAACCTGTTTATGTTCATTATTCTCAAGCTGCACATACATTTCAGAGGATGAACTGTTCTTGAAACGCCCAACTACAGAAAGCTTACCTGTGCACAATGACTGATAGAGAAATAACAAGACTGCTGGTGTAAATCCCAACTTTGGTTTTTGGTGAAAAGAAACTCTCCAAATTTTGATAAATGAAGTCCAGTAGCACACCTGAGGTTCAGGGGAAAAACACAAATGTGACCTGTAGCAAGAAACAATACAATTTTTTTGCCAAATGCCAATTATCACAAAATTGCACATGCATGATAATCATAGAAAACAGTATCCTCTTGAACTGACACGAAAACATAAAATGTTTTAACAAGATACTGCAATTTCAAGGTTCAATTTATCTGTAACCTTGTGTAGTAAAATTTCTCTAACTGTATTATCAAATAAAGAATTTATTCTTAATGCCAAAAAGGGATCTGAATTCATCATAAAACTGCTTACAACGCATCAGTGCATGTAATCATCTGTTTCAGGATATTGTTTTGTTGTAAATTTATGTTTTGTTGTAAATGAAAGGACACTGTCACAATGAACCACTATAACTCATGAGCCTGATTTCATATAAAAAACAACTACCACAGCACAACAATCAAAAAATTTCAAGGACCAGATTAAACCAGATGCAATTAGCAGACTGGCAAATATACTTCAAGGTCTTCAGGAATGTGACCAAGATGAGTGGCTGATTGTTATTTTTTAGCTTGTTTTACTAACTTTTGTTATAGTACTTTACTACCTCATTGTCACTGAAAAGCAGATTTGTTGACCATTCTCTTTGCATTCTTGAGAGTAGTCAGGGCATGAAACTTGGCATATATGCATTTAAAAAAATAATACTGCAAGGTACATGTATGTAATGCATAGTTGTAATGACTCCAGTCAATGACTCGACTCGAGTCCAATGACTTGACTCGAGTCCCGATGGGTAAATGACTTGACTCAAGTCTCTGTGACCAATGACTCAATCTCTCATGGAGACTCAACTCGAGTACCAGCTTGTAAGATTTGAGCCTCAAAAAAATTAAAAGCAAAATTTTAGTTGGCTAGATAGCTGTCACCCTAATTTATTTTCAGTATGTCTAAATGAAAATAAAAATATCCAAAAATGATTTTTGTGTAATTGTGTTCTTACTGTATTTTGTTAAAAAATGTGCAAATCAAACTGACTCAAACTCGACAATTGACTCGACCACATAAAGTGACTTGATTCAACTTGACTTCTTGGCCTAATAACTTGACTCAACTTGAGTCACAATGTTAAAATGACTCGACTTGACTCAAGTCATTAAATTTAGTGACTCGTTACAACACTGTTGTAATGTGCATGGCATACAAAAAAGCAAATGGGGGAGTGCCCATAATCTGGGCTTCAACAAGATTCCTAAATGTTGTTTCTGGCGGTTCTTGTGTGATAGCAATTTCCCCTTTATTGCCCTATATCTTGGGATGGCAAGTTACCACAAACATCCAACATCATTAAAACAAACACTAATCACGTGACTGACAGAATATTTCTTATTTGCTAAATTTTTCTTCTACTGTATCTTAATGCTATCACCACTGACAATTTACTCACCATAACCTTAAATGGGCTATGAAAAGTACACAAATCTAATACTGATTTATTGTCCTTAAATACAAGTTTTTTTAAATTAAGACAGCTTCCAAGCAGAACATTCGAGGGAATTACGTGTAAACTCTACGGGAAAATATGATAAAGTTACAAAGAACAATGGGAAAGGGGGAAAAAAACAAAGACAAAATGCAACACTTGCCAGAGAGCATACTGTTGAACAGCATGGCAGGGAAGTAATGGTGAAAGTAAAGTACTCGTCCCATGATGAAAAATGGAGCATAATGCAGGAACCAGCCAGTAAAAAGAAAGCAACAGATGCCAAACGTTGTATGACATGTCTCTGTATTACAGGAGATATGTAAATCAACAGACAGGAAATGTGTTAAGTTATTTAAGTGAAAGAAAAATGTTATACATGTAACAGTGTCTTGCTGTTGAACCCTTTTGGTTACAAAAAGACCATTCATTACACTGTATGTCTTAAATTGTTGCAAAATGTGGAGAATTAATACAGCTGTTTTACACCAGACATTCCTCAGATCTCAGGAGAGTGGCTTAAATTCATCTGCCAGCCTCTTAACAAGACACAAGCACAACCCCTCTCATACTTTTATGATCTACATGTACATGTACTTCAGGTCAGAGAACTGTCAGTTGAAAGCACCTATATGTACCAAGGCTCTTTGTTAATTGACTTAAGTACTGGAATGCTGTTATGCAGCATATGTACATGTAAATCTTTCAAACTTTGGTCGGTACATGTAACCACATTGAGCAACAAAATTATTTACTCTTACCTTTCACTTGGGTTGTGAGTGTACATGTACATCCTCTCTTCTCCAACAAAGCCCAGATTAGGTATAAGACCAAGAAAGCTACCAAACAGATCAGATTTCCAACAAAGATGATAGGATTGCCCAGAAGATAAATGCTGTAGGTTGCTTTGACTCCTCCAGAAAACCACTGACCCTGCAGTCAAGCAAAGACTTGAGCCAATTACAGACTAATTGCAGCTATTCCATAAAACAGAACAGGGATTTTCCAAAACACAGTAGTAAATACCAAAAAGAAAAAGGACACTTTAAAATTTAAAATTATACTGTAGCTTCTGTAAATCCTAATCTTGAAAGAAAAGGACACAAAGAAAGTGCTGATTTCAACACAAAGTGCTCTATCCCAGAGCTTTTCAAAAATTAGCATTCTCATCATCCGTGAACCATAAATCTGACTGTAAATCTATAGAAAACTGTCGGTAGTACCATGAAATACTGTTACTTTATAAAATGTCTTGTACTTGGGAACACATTCAGCCTTGTAAATCAATTTACAGGGTTGAATTGAATCAATGACTGCAGCTGGATACAGTACTCAGTTCTGAATCTGAAACAGGAGATCCTTGCTCTGGTTTTGACAAAAGGAAAGCCTTTGCTTTGTCTAAGCATCACACAAATTTAGTTTTATTTCAGCGTTGTCCAGTCAGTGAGCAGTTTGAAGCAGCTTTATCTTTGCTGATATTTTTAATTGCAATATGGCTGCTTTGGCACATGTATTTCACACCTGGGGCAATAATGGCGGGGGGGGGTGGCAGGACAATGATACCAGTACTGCTAGGTGCTTTATCAGAAAGAGTCCAGGCTTTCAGAGACTGTAACGTGGGTAGTCAAGTAAATGGGGCAAAGGTTTTCAGAACACGTGGCCCAAATGTAACAGTGTTATGGGACAACTTATTAAATGAAACCCAATATAGATGTAAATTCTATACATTTCATCAAATTTACGGCCCTCTGTAAGAAAGTCCTTTTGCAAAATATCTCAAAATTTTATAAGATATTATTATGACTCATCTGGTCCTTTGAGTCAATCCTAACCCTAACCTGTGTGTACCTGTGAAAGGTGCAGATGGAGCTCTTCTATGTATTAACACAGCCATGAGTCAGGTCGGATTATAAATCGAGGACGTCCTCAGTTTGCAATAAGGTGAGGCCACAGTCAGCAGTTATAATGGTCAGCGAAATTTCAGAGCATTTGGAAGCCGTCCTCGGTACGTATTTAACACTCTGGGTGTTTAAAAACATCTGCGCTAAATGGGCAGTTTCGGTGCATCCCTGGATGGGATAGCGCCCTCTCTAGCTACGCTGGCCCTGGTGTCTGGCTGGCCGCCGCGGGCCGGTCCAGATTGCTGAGCACAATAAACCTCGCCTAGTGATGGGGACGCATAACCCCAACATATATAAAAGCCCAAAAACTATCCAAAAGCATCATAGCATCACCTTGCCATCACGCCTGTGGACTTCTGCAGCCGTTCTGAGATGTAGTTTTCTTCTAGTGGAAAATATGGGGGAGGAAATACGATTTCATTTGAAATCATGACCAGACCCTATCTCGGTACGATTTACTACATCATTACATATATGGCCCTAGTACTGGCTAGTAGTACTAGTACTACTACTAGTTAAAGTGTGGTTAAAGTATGGCTAATACCAGACCCCTCCCCCCATATTGTCAATAGGCTAATGTAGATCTTACACTGCTGTTAGAGTGAATGTCCCAGTGGAATAAGTACACGTATGCAGTCCAAAAAGCTCAGTTACATTATCCAGTTTTCCAGCCTGAAGTGAAGACTTTTCTTTTGTCAGTATCTGGTGGTTCTAATTGTGTTTAAAGCATTTTTTTTGCTGGATGTGGCTCTTTGGAGCCAGATACCTGTTCCCCCTACCAGTCCACACCAAATTAAAAGAGGACAGGTGGTGTAATGAAATTAGTAGACCAGATAAATAGGGGAGGGCTGCGTAGCACCATGATCATAATATTGACAAGAATATAATATAAATTAGTGTTCTGAAACAAATAATTGCCGAGCTTTCGGGAACTGAGTACCTTAGTCCAATGAAGAGAGAAGATGTGGCTTTGGTAGTCAAGAATGACACGCTGATTGTTGAATTTGCCAAGCAGGAATACATGAAACTTGGGCACGATGTAGATCAGCATGGCTACATCTGTAACAGGGTACGTGAATTGGGTCGACTCATCATATAACTCAGAAAGAACACCCAGAAACCAAATGCATTACTTGAATCCATCATTACTTTTGTCCATCCACACCACCTTTCTGATATTGTCACGGCCGTGCATGATATTGCTGGCTTCAGGGAAGACAAACTGTTGTATAATGTTCCGTCACTGGCGCTGAAGATTGGTTATTCCGTCAAGAAGTGTGCACTCGTCTTGAAAGGAAGTGCCCTAGAGTCCGGCCAAAAACACAAAGCGGAACGTGCGGAAGAGTATATGCAGTTGTGTGAATTGAACTGGCGAGGC